ATTGCTCCATCTCCCTCCCTCCCAAATATTCCCTTTACTAGGCACCCTGTCTCCCTTCTCCAGGGGCTCCTCCTGTCTGGTCCATCTCCACTTGGCTAATTCCCCCCGTGGCCCCTGTATTGAACTGTTGTGTTGTCCATTTCCCTGTGACAAGGGCTCTGGTTACAGAGTTATTGATTGGTTTTCATGCAGACAGATGGGCCCTTCCGAGCTCCCATCGAAATCCCTGGCTGTATGGGCTGATTGTTGCCTCTCAGGGTGTAGGATTGCACTGGAGACCACCCTCCACGCAAGCTCCTTTGCCCAGACTGTGGACGGTAATAAATGGAGGCAGCCTGAGCGATAATAAAAGCAATTGAGTAGGTTACCTGTGCAGACACAAGATTTATGCCTCTTCATATTTGATGTGATTGTTTTATTGAGTTCTCAGAATAGTTGGGACACACTTTATTTATTTAGGGTTCCCCCCTCTAGTTTCCTCTTTGAATCACCCTCCAATATGCACCTGGAGCTTTTGTTACGGACAACCCCTCCTATCTCCCTCTTCCCTAGAGTTGCCAGTGGAAGTAAGAACTCAGGGCAACCAGCCATCAGTCTCACCTGAAAGCCATCTTGTGGCCTGACCTCCCACTCGAAGCCTGCCCACAGGGAAACAGTTAGACCAATACAACTGCTGGCCAAGACATCTAAAATAACTGAGTGAACAAAGATGGCTTTTCAGGGGGACAACTCCAGCTCATTTAAAGAAATAAGAGTGCCAGCAGTCGTGACTATTTCACGTGTTATTCTAATGAGGGGAAGTCTCGTTAGAAGCAAGAGACATTCTCTGGGGAAGGACAGGTGGGCAAGGGTCTTCCGACAGAAGCTGGCACATCTGTCCACCAGAGGTGGCCTGATCCAGAAGACCAAGGGGCACACAAAGCAAGTCCTTTATTCTTATTTTTCCCATTCCTCTGTGGGGAGAGGCCTTCTTCTTAACCTACCATCTTGCCTTGGCTCTTGGCCATGAGACCAACAGCCCTGACCACCAAACAAGTGCAAGGGTATGGAAATGTAGTGGGCAATGCAGCCTCTCTGGTCCAGCTTTGTGCCAAACCAGGTCTGTCCAAGAGTCAAATATGCGATATTCTAGAACCTGAGTCTCAGAAAGAGAGACACAGACCCCAGCCCTGAACGTGTCTTCAGCATTCCCTTGGCTGGGATAAGTGGCTCCCAGCTTCCTTGGAAAGACCTCTGAATGAACAGCTAGACCACCTGTCACCCCAGTGCCAGATTCTGACGAAGACCTGCAGATGACATGAGATGGAACTGTTTAACAGCCCTGGGGCTGGTGCCTTCTTGAAGCCAGTGTTGCCACCACTAGGAGAGTACATATGCTCACTTATAAGCCAAACAGGTTAAGGAAGGGTGTGGGTAGCAGGTGATTGGTGGGAAATTGACTCTGGGAGGGTCCACTTGAAAGATCTAGGAGCTGGGAGTGCCCTGGTCCCACATAGTATAGCACCAGCTGAGAAAGCTAAAAGATCGATGGCCTCCTTGTCAGCTCAGTCCAAGACAGTACCCTCAGGGGGATCTTCAGGAACACTTGACTCCCGCTGGAGTCTGCGCCTGTGCCTTCAAAGGAGCTATATTCCCTTCCCAGAGCAACGGCCAAACCTGAAGACGTTGGCATATAATCAGGAAAATCCTTCCTGCCTAGCCAATTGCTCAGCAATGTAACTAGGTAAATGACTGTTAGCAGGGTGGGTCCCCCTCCATCTCCTCCCCCTCTGGGCCATTTCACACATGAGCTTTCAGTCTCAAGTCACCTGTTTATAAACACACCCCCCCCCCACACACAGACAGCAGCAGTGTTTAAGCACAAGCTGAAGAGCTGGCAACTCCACACCCAACAATCAGTAACCCAAAATTGAGAGCCATTCAGATAAATTCCGCATGCTAAACAATCCAGTCCAGCCTCCGGATTTTTGATGGTGGTTTCAGGGAGTGAGGGTGAGATTGGGAGGCCTACCTCATCTACTCTATTGGCTCAGAGAGGTACTGCTATGAGGATCTGCCAATGGAGAAGGAAGGTTGGATGTCCAAGTCTTTATCACAACAGGATCAGAAAAAGCCAAAACCATTTTTAAAGCAGGAAAACCAATTTAGTTTATAACCATAATAGCATATTTCAAGTGCGGCGACAGCATCTGTTTGGGGGAGGAGAAGATGAAAACCCTTGCGATTTGGCTCACGTGGATAAGCACGTGTGGACTTCCTTTCTTGCCAACAGCCAGTACAGACACATCCTTGATTGTGAGTATTATAAAGTGCCCAACACAAGTGGCACCTCACCCACAGTAAAGGTCTAAACTCAAGAGCCACCCAGTTCCCAACACACCATACTTTCTACACAGAACATCTCCATGTTCTTCCTACAGGGAGTGAGAATTCGCAAAGTTCCTGGCATCAGCAGTACCAGCAGAAATCCCACTTTTAGCAGCCTTTAGGGTGAAGCAATGTATCTCAGATAAACCTTCCCCTTCAGAGCAAAGCATCTGGAGGCATAATGCTAAGGGCGTCGGGCCCAGATGCATCCCCCCAGCCCTGATTCAGCAGCATACCAGGAAGCCCCCAGAATTCTTTCCCACATATGAATCACAATGCAAAAATCAAGAAAACTCTAACCAAGCCTTGTTGATAGCCAGGAAGCCTCGCTGCAAACCCAGGGCTGGCTGCCCATACTGCCAGCGGCTTCCCCGTTCTCCTCCCACACCCTTGCCATTCCAGTAACACCTGCCCACAGATGGCTATTGTTCCACACCCAAAGGTAGCCTCTGTGTCCCTCAGGTGATCACTCTCTGTTTTGAGCAAATTCTGCTGCTGTCAGAGCTGTTAAACCGAGGTCATTCTCCCACTCTCATCCCACTAGCAGCTCACTCTTCTACTTTCTCCCAGTTCTGGTGAGTGCACCTCAAGGCCTCTGGAGCTTGGTCCTGGGGTCACCCGTCCCCTGTTCTCCGTGGCTTTTCAGGATGAGAGCACTCCCAAACTTTTGCATAAGCCAGCTTCCCAAAACATCTCAGCCAGTGAGGGGTATATAGTGGGGACAGGGGGAAGAAGGGGTGCTAGGCAAGGGGTGCTGCCACCACACCTGCACTGACTGTCCCAATCTTCCAAGCCCCCAAAGCGAAGCGCATTGCTTTGATCAAACATATCTTGAGCTCCTCCAAAGGCTTGCAAATCCTATCACAAGATTGTTCCAGAACACCAGCACCCAGTCCCAGCAACGCTGCTCCTCAGCAGGGCTTCTCTCCTCCCAAGACCCCAGTTCAAACCCACTCCCCAGACCAGCAACCAGCCTAGAGGTTGAGAGGAGACATTGCTTTGTCCCCTTCCCACTCCTGCCAGAGCCCCAGAGCTTCCCCAGCCTCCTCCACTGGCTTTTAAATGCAAAAGACTCATTCCTCTCCCAATGCAGGTGGTGGTGGAGGGGGGAGGGCCCACTCTTTCTCCAGCTCCTTTGGAAGGTGTCTGAATGTCAAACCGCTATGCTCTCAATACCTAGCTGAGCCAGGCCCAGGGAGCTGGAGAGTTTTCGGAGGGTGTATAATTAGCTGATCAGTATTATGTTACCCTGTTCATAACTGAATAACCATTTTAATACAGATGGCACACAGTGGGATAATTTCTGGGGTCGCCTCGCAGTACGTTACAGCACGAGTGTGGCAGAGGGAATCTTCTTTAGCCAAGGTACATTCTACCAGCTAATTTTACCTGCTGTTTTCAGGATGATTTGGGATAATTCCATATCATTTGCAAAATATTAAAAAAAAAAAGAACCTTGATACGTGATGCCAGTTTCAGAAAAAGGCACCAGCTGAATTATTAGTTGCTCTGATAATGAGCCTATGAAGAGTGTAAAGAAAAACACAGGTATGAAACCCTCAGCCTTCTCATTTGGGGATTTGCCTTAAAATGCAAGGGGCAGGGGTTGAAAAGCTCGCCAAGGCTGTCTGGAATTTGCACAGGGTCTCTGCTGATGTCAGGTTGCGCAGTTCTGTGATGGGAAAGCCATCCTGGGTCCCCATCTCCAAGCGCTCCTGTTATGTGCTATACCTGCCACATGTATACACTGGCCTGGGTGGGGTGGTACATATGTGGAGTGTGCACGTATCCTGGAGAGCACCCTGGAGTGGCTCAAAGATTGGGAGACTAACTTGTGCTACTGAATGTTGAGCTGACTCCAGCCTGAGTTGTCACCCTGTGCCTGAGCCTGTCATCAGTGTAGCCTCAGGCCTGGACACAGGGAGTCTAGGTGGTTGGAGGCACCTCCTGAGGTTCAGCCTCAGGTCCAGAGTTCTCCATCCTGACTTGGCATCCCATTCCTTGTCTAGCTTCTCTGCTCCCTGCCAGTGGGTGCTGGTCGTTGGTGTTTGCCCTACAGGCCTGGATACTGGTGCTAGTAGGCCAGAAATTTGTGTGGAGCTGGCTAGCAAGGCCTGGGCTCCCAGGAAGGCCACCTTTATAGGAGTCAGCAGAGATGATGGGGTGGGGGGTGGGGAGGCGGGGAGCCAGGACAGGTGGCTGCCCCTGGGGAAGGGAGCATGCCTTTAGAAAGGGAAGTCTGTTTAGAGGCGATGAATAGAACACTGGTCATTTTAAAGGCTTCGGCTGTGGGCTGTGATTGTCTCTAGATACCGACTGAGGCGCGTAATCTTGGAGTCTTAATTACCACAAACACTTGGATTCATTTCCAGGACGCCAGAGGGAGAAGCCTGGCAGGGAATACCCAGTCCTGAGCTGGAGACAGCCCTGTCTGTCTGTCTGTCTCTCTGCCTCCGAGGTCCCCTCTCCCTGCCCAAAGGACCTGGAGGCCTAGGAGCAAGGGCAGGCAGAGGCTGGAGGAAGAACGGAGCTGGAGCTGGGAGAAACTCTGGTGCTCGGGAGCTGGGAGAAACTCTGGTGCTCGGGAGCTGGGAGCTGGAGCCCCACCCTGCAGCCCAGCATGGCTTACTCACCTGTTGATGGAAGAGACGCTGGGCACTGTGTCGTTGTCACAGATGCCCTCCGCCAGAAGCCGGTCCCGGATCTCCCAGGCAAACATAGTTGGGTTCTGTCGCTTGTATTCAGCAATCTTGTCCACAACTTTGGGTGTTGCCACTTTTGGCTTGGAGCCGCCGATCACTCCAGGTTTGATGCTGCCGGTCTCATAGTACCTGCGCGGGGAAAGCCAGAAGGGTCAGAGAGAAGCAGGCGGTGGCCGAGAGCAGGGACTGTAGGCTCTGGAGCCGCTGAGCCACTCTGCCGCCGGAGGCGGAGAGGGAAAAGACCCAGCGTGTCTGAGCGGGCATCCAGAGCCACTCGGCTAAGGCAGGGATACATCAGAGGGTGAGCGCAGGGACAACAGGGACGCTCTCTCCCGGAAGGTGGTCGTACCAAAGGCTGTGCACACAGCAGCTGCAATAGGCGACCGGGGTGTGGAAGCCTGGCCTTTCATTTGAGAAGAGCGGGAGGAAGAGCACTTGGAGGCCTCCTGCCCATTCCCACTGAGCACAGGGCCCCTATGGGAACCAGGACTAACCTTGCACCTCTCAAGCTGATTCTTCTCTTCTCCGGGCACCCATCTTTACCTTCACCCTATTCCTCCAACCCTCCCTTCCAAAGAGAAGAGCTGTCCTTCCGTTTCTGAAGACAGAAATCCAGCTCTCTCCCAGAGAGGACGCTGGAGCCTGGCAAGCCCGCTGGACTGCGCTTCTGGGGCCGCAGTCACCACCTGCGTGCCCTTGCCAAAAGGAGCCGCTCTCCAGATAGCCCCAGTCAGGGATCTCCCACGCCCGCTAGCGACTTGCACTTTTAGCCAAGCCCTCGGCTGGAGACCCAGGGCTGTCCAGCCCATGAAGCAGACGGGGGCATCTCCCAGGGGCGGCTCCGCGACCCTCACCTGCCCAGGATTTTGCTGACACAGCCGTGGCTGACCCGCAGCTGCCGGGAGATGTCGCAGGGCCGCACGCCCTGGTGGGCCAGCTCCACGATGCGCTGCCTCACCACGTCGGGCAGGGGCCTGCCGTTCACAAACACCCCCCCGAGCTGGTTCACACCCCCGTGCCCTGCTGGGGAGAGACAAGAAAAAGACACAACACCCCACACACAGCAGGGACCGGCCATTAGTCAGGGCCCGCGCGCGGCCCAGGATGTGTGAAGGGAGCAGGAAGGGCGGAAGGGCATGTTCCTGGGCTCGCGGGCGAACGGCGGCCGCCGACCACAACGCAGAGGATTAGGGACCGGGAGCCGCGGGGCTGGAGAGAAGAGGAAGTGCAGAGGCTGGGCAGAGGGCTGGGAAAGGACGCGCGACTCGAAAACCGGTACGACACCAGGGAGAAAGTGAAGATGGGATGGGCAGCGGGGCGAGAGCGGGGGGAAAAGGGGAAGAAGGGGAGAAAAACAGCCAAGTGGGAAATAACGCCGGCAGGAAAGAATGTAGGCAAGGGAGGGCCAGGCGGAGGATGGTGCGGAATCCCGCCTGAGCCGCAGGCAAGAGGGAGTTGTCCGAGCGTGCTTGAAAGTGGATGTTTCTGGGGTGTTGGTTAGGAGAGGAGCTAAGTCCCTGACATTCTCCCCTCTGCTCCCTACCTCTTTCCTTGTATTTATTTGGAATTGGAGTCTTCTTACATCTTTCCCCGTGTTTTTGTTGTGATTTTTTTTTTTTTTTGGACGGGGAGTTTTTCTTTCCTTTATGTTTTCTATCTTTAGGTATTTGGGGAGCCATATTCCCCCGCCCCCACCTAGGGTTTAAAGTTCAAAGAAAGCCAACTGAAGGAGGTAAGGGGTTAGGCTGAAGAGGCAAGGGCCCAGAGTCTGCTGCGCTCCGAGACAGGGAGGCAGTGGAAAGCGGCGAGGTGCCCGCTATCAACCACAGAATGCAAACTGCTTGGGTTCACCCGCCTGCCGCGCTGCGCCAGGCTGGGGACCCACCGCTTCACCCAGGACGCATGGTACAGGTCTCTTAGGTGGGCTCAAGGTTCATAGGGCACCCTGTGCAGCCAGCCTCAGCCAGCTCGCGTCCCTCTGACCTTTTAGACCTCCGCGGCCACTCAAGAAAGGGGACAGCAAGGGCGTTTGCTCTCCTGGGCAAGAGGAGGGTGCTGGGTCTCCAACCTGACTCCTGCTGCAGGCGCCCAACCTCAGAGCCATAGTGGTCGCCGGATGCCAGGCCTGAAGGCGCTGCCTGGCGCCCCATTCTCCCTGACTCACAGCAGTCTAGAAATCCTGCACCCAGAGCCATCAACACGCAGTCGCAGTTACTGAGAAATCCAAGCACAGAGAGTGGTAGCGGCAGAGTCCGACCTGACCGGACCAACAGCCTGCAGCCCTGTCCTGCTAGCCTCGGGTGACTTTCGGAGAAAGCGGGGACACCTGCACCCGGTTCGCTGCTCTCTCGTCCCCTTCTTGGGGGACCGAGAATAGGGGCCGGCTAAACCTCTGGGGAGAGGCCTCCGATCTCCAGGCTGGGGGAAGCCGAAGCCTCCTATCCTACCCCTCACCCATGCTAGGCTCCCTACCTCTAGCCCCACTCCTCACCCTCCCCTCCCTCCAAACCCGACCATCAATAATTTAGGCCCCGGGAGAACTCGCGTTACCGGTATGAAAAGGCGGCAGCTGCTGGCAGATTAAAGATGAATAATTCAGCCTCCCCGGGCTCCGGGCCCAGCCCCTCGACCCCAATCTAAGGGGTCGGGAAAGAAAGGGGGTACGGCAGGAGTCCAGGGCTGGGGCCGAGGGCCGGTGCTGAGTCGGGCCTAGACTGCGCCATCGCCGCCGCCGGCGCCGACTCTGGCTGCCGCAGCTGGCCGGCTAGCCCGCACCGCGGTCTCGCCCTTCCTTCGACCACCTTCGACTCGCCTTGCTCCCCTTTGGGCTTCAAAGTGGTACCCAGTGGACGGCCAGGACTCGGCAGATCCCCCGCGGAATCAGCGAGAGAGGAGAGAAAGAGCAGAGGCTGCGGGGCCAGGAGGCCGGCTGGCTGGGCGAAGACGGTGTGGTACCCGGTTCCACTCCCTCCGAAAAGGAGACAGGGTTTCAGGCTCGGCTCCCACAAATCGGCGGCAGCCGGAGGTCTCTGGCTCGGATTTCCTGTGTATGCTTGGAAATTATTTAGGGAAGTATATTTTATCCCAGGAGTACTTTTTTTTTTAAAGCATATATATACATATATATGCTAAATAAATGTTTAGAGAAAAATGCAGTTCTTCCTCCCTCCTGGGCTCTCTTGTCCAAAGCACAGATCCAAGCCAGCTCTAAAAAGTTTCCGTGTGAAAAGTTACAAATCATCCTTGATTATTAATCTACAGAAAAGTTTTCTATTTAGAATCTACCTTTGGGGGGAAAAAAAGCCTGCAAGAAAAAAAATCTCTGAATTGTTTTCCAAGCTAAAGACATAGGACAAGAATTAGATAAATTCAAATTTAATTTAAATAGTCCTCCTTTCCTATTTTAAATTTATTTTCTCCCCTTCTCTTTTTTCCCTGTAACATTTCTTTTTCTGTTTTCTTGCTCTTCTTTCTTAGCCCTGGTTTGGGTTTCTCTCTCCTTTCTCCTCAGCTTTGGCATTTGCCTTCCTTTTGTTCTTCCCACCTCCTTTTCTCCCTCTTTTCTGATCCCTTGGCCAGGTTACTGGCTGGATCATCCTTACTAGTGATTGGGAGACTGGCAAGGAGCCTCTAGAACTAGACGCAGAGCAAAGCTTTGGGACCACCTGGAAGGCTTTTCTGTGTGATATATCGCTGACTTCGATTTCTCTTCGGAACCCCTCTTTGTTTTTAGAGCATCTCCCCAGGAAAGGCAGAGAAAGATGACCACCACGTTTGGCCAATCTCAGACTCCCAACTCCAGGACACCAGAGGGGAAGTAGGATGGAAGGCAAGAAAGAAAAGAGGAAGGAAGTATTTCAAACCAGCCCACATGAAGCCTTGCCTGGGCTGGTAGGGCCAGGAGAAGCTGGGAGCTGAGGGTCAGAAGGGGGCACCCCACCCCCAGGCTCTTCTGCCTGATTGTCCTGACACTGAGGCTGCCTGTGTGGGGAGTCTTCTCCTGGACAACCACACTCCAAGTTCGAGAAAGATACAGATGAGAGAAGGAAGGATGCGGAGGCAAACAGAAAAACATAACACAAAACCCTAAAAACTGCCTGCCCATTAGTCTCCCAGCCCCAGGCAAGAGGGTGGCCAGGGGAACGGTGGCTGGAGCCAGGGTCATGGGCTGTGGACCCACTATTTAAGAAGAAGCAGGTGGAAGGAAAGAAGAAAGGATGGGCACCAGGGAGGTAGGAAGGCAGGTAGTAGGAGAAATATGAGTGACATAAGGCAGAAGGAAGAGAAGGGTCTTCAGATATACCGAGAAATGGGAGAAAGAGGAAGAACGAAAAGGGGGGACCAGGAGAAGCCAGGGTGCCCTCCAAGATGGGATCTGAGCATAAGGGGCCAGAGCCGCCTCAGGACAGGACTGGAAGGAGTAGGGTGGGACGGGGAGCCCCGAGCTGGGACAGGAGCCGGGCGCCGGTACTCACGGTGCATCGCGGAGAAGGGGTCTGCTTTGCAGTGCATATCCATGGGGAGGCAGAGGAGCGGGAGCAGCGCGGCCGCCGCCGCCGTGTCGCCTCTCAAACTCAACTTCAGGACTTGAGGAGAAAAGGGAGGGACGGTGGGGGAGGGAGGGTGAGTGGGCGCCCGGCTGCGACCCGGCGCTCGAGAGCGGGGGGCGCTGCGCTGCGCTCCCCGCGGGGACTCCTCCCGGGCCGATCGGAGCTCGCAACCGCAGCGGCCGCAACTTCCCACCGTCGGGGCGCGGGGCTGGGCGGTCAGCAGAACGGCCCCGGGGCTGCAGGCCGGGCCGGGGGGACCTGGGGGCGCATGGCGCGCGCGGCAGCCGCGGCCGGGGCTGAGACTGGGCGGGGAGATGGCTCGCTCAGCTCCCCTGGAACCCGGTCATCCAGAGGCGGCAGTCGGGAGTGGGCGAGGAGCAGGGGCGGCCCGAGGGCGCCGGGCGGGGAGCTGGGCCGCTCCAAGTGCCGGTGAGTTGAAGAAGTTGGCAAAGAAGTAGCAATCCTCGGGATGTCCGAGCCGGCGCCTTCGGGAGGGGAGAGCGCGAGCCGGGCCCCCGCCCCCGGAAAAGGCTGGCGCGCGCCGCCGCGGCCGAAGGGCCGGGAGGGAGGGAGGGAGCCGAACGACGCCGGCAGCACTGGACTGGCCCCAGGTGGGTTGTGTTTGCGTGAAGACTCGGCCGCAGACTGGAGCCTGGGCTCCCGGTGTGTCTCTCTCTAAAAGCTGCAAAGCCCCCTCCAGACCCCCTCCCCCTCCCCGCGCTGGGAGATGGATGACTTGTCAGACAAAGGCAATAGATTCCACCACTCTGTGATTCGCCAGCGCCGGAGCCCGGAGCTTCGGCGAGGAGGGCCCCGCGCCTGTCACTCCGGTGCCGGCGAGGGGAGGGCAGGGGAGGGGGAAACAGGAGGGAGGGAGGGAGCAGCGGGCGAAGGAAGAGGGAGGGAGGGGAGTGGGCCAGGGGGAGGGGGAAGGGGAGCCTGGGATTAAAACTACACTGAGAAACGAAACTCGCCGATAAGATAAGCGTTAGATAAGGATAAAGGGCGGCCAGTCTAATGAATATTCAGGCAACGACAGAGGACCGCAGAGCGTGCCACGCTCCGAATCCAGCTCGAAGTCCCAACTCACCCAGCCCTGCCATCCACCGGCCAGTGCCTGCATGAACCACGGAGACCCCAGCTCGGTCCGCATCCCTAGTCCTGTTCCCCCCGCTACTCTCAGCTGAGTTCCCTTCCGTTCCTCCTGGTTCTTCCTTCCTCTCTCTGGTCCTTCCCTTTCGCCTGTCCCTCCTGAGGTACCTCCCCACCCACACACCCCCAATTCTCATTCCGGGGCAAAGTGTCCGGCAATTTGTCCTCTCCCGTCCACACGCGGCTGCGTGCAAGGCTTCCCTCGTTCCCTTGCCTAAAGGGGTCTGGACAGTCCAGAACGCTCGGTGTAGAATCGAGCTGAAGACCTCCGGGGGGCGGGGGGAACTGCACCTGCCTCAGTGGGACCCAACGGACGGTGCGAGAACCCGGGGACTTGGCTTCTGGACCCTCGGGTGACCGGGGAGGGGACTTGGGGAGGCAGTGCAGAACGACCGGTTGCTGGCGGCAGCGGAGGCGGGAGATCGAGGCTCGCCTCGCTCTCCCCGGCTGGGGAGAAGTGGCTGTGAACGAGGCTGAGCGCCGCCCGCTGCCAGCTCGGCGGATCCAGAGCCAGCGCAGGAGGCGCTGCGCGCTCGACCCAGCCCCGCTCCTGCCGGCGCCGCCGGCCCAGCCGCCGCAGCCCTCGTCCGCACTCGCTCCCTCGCTCGCTCGCTCAGGTTAGCTCTCGCACGCACCAGGCAGGAGAAGCCCTTTGTCTCCTAACTGGTTAAGTACAGAATATCCGGGAGATCTTTATGAAATATTTTCCCTCCTCTCATAAATCATCTTGGCACTTCAGCTGATGTTTTAACTCTCTCCCTCCTTCTCTCCCTCCGCACCCCCCACCTTCCTGGGTCTGCGAAAGGGCGGCTCAGGAAAGCCGCGATGCGATCTTGCAGCCGGTACTCGAGGCAACTATGGCCCTGCCTGCTGACCCTGGTGCCTGCAGAAGAGCCGCGGACTCGCGCCGCTGTCCCTCTGTCCGGAAACCTAGGCTGCAGCTAGGTCGCGGGCCGAACGCGGCGCCCCCCCACCCCCACCCCTGGCTCCGACTCAGGTAGGAGGAAACTCCTATAGGGCCTCTTGCACGGGGGTTTTCAGAGCTCCCTTCATCCTCGGGCCGGTTCGGGCCAGGTCCAGACCGACAGGCTTTCAAGCTCCCCACTCTTTAGGAGGTCGATCTGCTGGGATCCTGGCATTTCCTCTCCTTCCTGGATCCTCCGGAGCCCAGTTCGTTTAATACACTTGCGGAGTAACTCCTGGAAGGAAAAGTCCCCTCCCCGCCTGCACCCTCCTTCCCAGCCCTCAGCCCCACTTCCCTTGGGCGGCCCAGCTGGTTCCCTCGGGCGGGAGATGAAAGACGCAGGGTCCAGTCCCGAAGGTCAGTCTCTTCCTCTCGAGACCTGCAGATGGCGCTCCTGGGTTTCCTTTGGCCTCACAGCCCCACGAACACGCACTAACTTGGTGTGGGGAGCGAGAAAGGAAAACCGTTCCGGGCAGCCTAAAGGGAATGGCTCTCGGGCCTGGGAGCAAGGGGCTCTCGGATGATGTTAGCTGGTACAGCCTCGAGCTTCTTTCAGGGAGGTAATTAAGTCACAATTGAGATGAGGGGGCCCCCGCATGGAGGAAGGGTCTTCTTTACTGAGAAGGAGCTTAATACTAAAGGAGCCCTTTGCCCCTTTGCTCATTATGTTGGTCTAGGAAGTTGTTGTAGGGAGTCTGAACTCTTGGAAAAACTGGACAGTGGACAGCACCCCTGTCTGCACAGAGACTCAGATTTTTCTAGAATCAGCCAGACATATCCTTAGGTTACACAGACTATGAAGAAGTCTGGGTGCAGACAACAGGCTTTTTTTACATACCAAGGAAGAGGGATTTTCTTCTCTTGTAAAGACGGAGACAGTGCACAAAGTGTGCTGGAAGTTGCACCCACACACGTACCCCCTGAGAAGTGAAGACCCTTCCGTGACAGTCCAGTTCCCAGGTAGTCCCTGAGACTCCAGAACCCCACTCGCCCTGCTCCTGAGACACTTTTCCCTGCACTGCACCAGCTGGACATCCACCCTCCTACCAAGCCAGCCCCTGGCAGCTTCCTTTTTGGCTCCAGCCCATTCAAGGGCCTAGAAAACCAAACAGCAATATTCCATGATGATTATAGAAACCCTTTTAGTCAAGCCCTGGACTTCTCCCAGGGCTCCAGGCTGAGGGGCTGGCACAGATTTCTCTCCAGAGGCGCTGGTCTCTTTCTCTCTGATGTTCTCTTTCCTGTTCTTCCCTTTCTTCTTCTATAGTCTTGGGGGGGGGGGGGAGTCAGAAAGGAAAAAAAGGAAAGAAGAAAGAAGAGGAAAAGAAAGAAAAAGAAAGAAAACAACCCAACCCCAAACACAACCCGGGCTCCGACCTGTCAGGGTTGGTTGCTTTTCCCGTCTGCCTCTAAATGAACCTTTTCTCTCTGGTGTTTTCAAAGCGGCCCTTCCACCCCCAACCTAGGGGCATTTACACTTCAAACAAGGCACCCGCCTCCCTGCGGAAATTTAAAGGCAAATAAACTTTTGGGGAGTTGCTCTGATACCCATCTCGGGATTTGCTTCATTAGCCGCCTCTGTGCATCTGATCTGCCCAATAAATCTTCCTTGTGGATCTCCGCTCCTTCACCTTCTCTGCTCCCTTCCCTGCCAGGCTCGCCTGGTGCCTGGCGCCCCCGCCCTTGCCTCCTTCCTCGCTGAGAAGCACTGGCCGCCTGGCTCTCCGGCTGTCTCCTGCCTGCTCTGCTGGGTGTAGGTGTCCGCGAGGCTACGGTGTCCATTGAGCTTCTCTCTCCTCCCTCACTGTATACACACGCAAAGTCACCCCAAGCCAAGGGCAACTAACACCCAGAGCTCCCAGATGCATTTCTGGGCAGACTGTGCTTGAGCTGAAGTGCTCAAAACCCTGTCCACTACCCCTAGTTGCACCCTCTCCCTACACGATCCTTCGGCTCCTTTTCACGTTTCGCATGTAATTTCTTGGACTGAATTCCCTAGTCTGGCCCAGTGCTTTCTGCCCTGGTGAAGAAAGGCTGAAGCTTGGCTGCCTACCCTCTGCAGGCAGGGCCCTGACCCAGGGCCGGGATGCCTGACCTGGAGCAGTTGGGGAAGGTGGCTGGGCCTCTGAGGGGAGGGGTTGGTGGGGGCCCAGGCAGCGTCTCAGTCATGGCCCTCCTGGACACCTCGGCCAGCCTTCCTCCTTCCACTCCTTCCACCTCCCGGGGATCAGCAAGGGGAGCCAGGGCTGGGGCTCTGAGTGAGGGGATTAGAAATTCCGAAATTAAATGTATCTCCCTAGGAAATGCTCCCCACAGTGTGGACCAAATTAATGCATTAAAGTTCAAGGTGGGGAAAGCTGTTTAGAACCAAGGGGGGGAAAAAAAAAACGAGTCCAAAGGGAAGAAAAGCGAAAGCAGAGGAGGGAAGAGAGAAGGGTGGAGCAGAGCATCAGCTCCACAGCCAAGCTCCTTTTCAGAATAATTCCTAGTTTTGGAAGTCACCACCACCAGAAAAAAAATTACAAGAAAAGAAAAAAAAAGTTCGACTGACAATCTAAGTCTTGGACAGCCAAGGCCCACTGGCCCCCAGGGTCCCGGGGTGCCCCTGGGGCTCATCCTCTCTGGGACCAGGTCCCAAGCCGCGGCTCACGCACTCGAGCCCCACTCCAGCTCGCCCTGACCGGCTCCGGCCCGACCCTTTCTCCTCCTCCACCCGCTTCTTTCCCCGCCCCTCCCCCTTCCTAGCCCTCTGGTCACGTTGGAGGATGGTTTTTTTTTTTTTTTGGAAGAGCTTCTGGTACAATATGGAGCACCATGGGCTGCAATTTCACACTCCACGGCACATTCCCCCTAAAGCTACTTTCTTTTTTTTCATCTAAGACCCCCTAATTTCTGCTTCCTCGCTCCCTCCCTTGCTCTCTCCCTCCCTCCTGCTCTCACTCTTCTTTCCCCGCTTTTGTTCCCAATATTTGGGCTCCCTGCGTGAAGCCCGGGGGGCCTGACTCCCGGCTGGCCCCGCCCGCTCTGTCTGTTGGTCCTGAGGAGGCCGGGCGCGCACGTGCTGCGCCTTTATCCTCCCCGGCTCCTCCTCCTTTAACCCGGCTTCTCCTCACAAGAGGTCCTAGCGACCTGCCGGCCCTTCACAGTCCCTTTGACGAGAAACGACAATGCAAGTCACTTGGCCACCAAAGCGGCCTCTTAGCGGCACGGGCCTGCCAGGTGGCTGCCGCCAGTGGGCCACCAGACTAGGGAGCTGGAAAAAAAAAAACACAAAAACTGTCAAGCCAGGAGAAACTGGGCCAGCAAGGCTATAGGGTAGAAGGTAAGAATGAATTCTCTGTCCAACAGAGAACAAGCTAGAAGGCGGTGAGGAGGGGCACAGGAGGCCCAGTGAGGCTCTAG